GTGTGTGTGTGTGTGTGTGTGTGTGTGTGTGTGTGTGTGTGTGTGTGTGTGTGTGTGTGTGTGTGTGTGTGTATACGCTGCAGTTTTTCTGCTGACTTCAGGAACTCCACCTGGCAAAGTCGGCCAGCACTCCTAACCATCCTCCAGCACATATATTGCCACACAAGCTGTGAAATATTTTTTACAGGTTATACAAAACCTGTCCTGCCAATATTAAAATGAAATTGTTGGGTTTTTTTCTTCTGTTATATTTTGTATAAGATATATAAGGGTACAACAATAATTTTTCACCCATCATCACCTAAACAAATACCACAGAAACCACCAATATATATATATTTTACATGTAAATACATTACATGTATATTTACATGTAATTTTTTAAGTCAAATTGAGGGCAATGAACAAAATGTGGGAAACTCAAAGGGCTAGTTAGCTGTTAAATCAAGAATTTCTGTTGTGTCAGCTGGTGTCCTCACAAGGATGCAACTACAGCTACGCCAGTGTGTGAGTGTGAATGAAGCTTGAGGTGCAGGGGTGACGCTGCACGGTGGCAGTCTCCTTCTAAAAGTGTGGGCTGTCATCAGGACATGCTGCTTTCTCACAGTGCTGAATGACAGAATACTTCCTGCACAGTATGTACTATATGGCTTACACAGAATGTGTATTTGTGTGAACATCTTCTGTGGGCTGTAGCTTGTAGGGATGCCTGGTTTGTGCATTGAGAAGCTTTATTTTAATGTGCTGAGTCTGACTGTATGTTTAACTGCGTTCAACAACTTAGAAATGGGATTTTGAGATGTGTGTGTTTCTCTTTAGATGTGCTCAGTACCCAGCAGGCAGGCGTCCTGTTAACCAACTGTAATTACGGAGCTCTCGGGGGAGAAAAAGCACTGCAGATAGAAACACAGGGTCATACCGTTGCATACAGAAGAAGCTTATAAACGGGCTTTCTGTATAGCTTATACATGGAAAACTTTCCTTAGCATCCTCACTGTAGCATAACCCCACCCTCTGTCTGTGTGTCTCTGCAGTGGTCAGAACCTAGCTGGTGAGTGAAGATGATTCCTGTGCTGATCTGGGCTTTGATATCACTGAATGTAGCAGAAAATGACTTAGATGCTCTGTACCCTGACCTGGAGCATTCGAGAACAATTTATGTCACAGGTGAGTACATGTTCACTTGTGTTTCTTTGTGAGAGTGACAATGTCATTCCAGCGTCTGTTTCTGTGTTTCGTTTAGAACACTCACTCTGCAGTGTCCTTTCTTCCCTCAGTTTATCAGCATGTTCTCAGTGATAAGACTGCTATGTAGGGACTTTTAGCTAACTTAGACAGAGCTATCCAGTTTGGCTTTTATCAGCAAATTAAAACATTGTATATCTCTAGTTTTTACATAGTAAAAAAAAACAACAACAACACATAACAGCTATTTTGTTATGCAAGTCACTTCGGAAATGTATTTATTTATCTATTGTTTGGTTTTCCTTGTTTGTGAGATACGAACAAAACCAAAGCCCTTTTCATTTAGGCTGCGTGATTCAGTGAGAACGAAGATATAAATCTTTACCAGCATGACTTCCAATTTCCTTTTTTTTTCAATATCACTAGCTACTGTATAATATTTTTAGTAAAATAACACATGATAAATTAATCTCTATTAGTTATTGTTTAAAGTAACGTTTAAAGCAGTTTAGCAGCAGCTGAGTCTTTGGCACTGTTTGGATCTATGCCACAAATATTCTTTGCTGTTTGGTTTGAGACCTTGGAGCAGTTTCGTCCTAACTGGACTAGCATTTTTTAACGTTTTTGCTTGTTCATTCATTTATTTACTTTTGTTTTTCTAGTCTAATGTGACCATACATAGAGAAGATGGCAGAATGCCAGAACCTCAAAGTTTTCAGCAGGCTTGGATATTCAGCTGCATAGCTGCAGCATTCTCAAATTTGTTATAGTCTGATCTCAGTTAGAGACTAAAATGTAATAGAATTTCCCTCTTTAAAACTGGAGGACAAACATTTTAGAGGGCTCATACCCCACAGATCTACTAAAACTAGAAACATCTTGTCAGCTGATCCAAAACATTCGACAGGAGTTCTGGTTGGGACTAGAAAGAAAATCATACTTCTAAAATACTTTGTCTGTCTATTAGCTTTTCTTCATTGCCTCGTTGGTGAATATGGAATCGAATTTAGAACCCTTCTTCTCACATATAAAGTCGCTAATAATCAGTCTGCATTCATTTCTTAAAAACCGTCCCATTGAAGCACTTTGCTCTCTGTTTTGTTGCTGTTTTTCAGAAAATGGCCCCCAACTGTCAGTGGTAGCAGAAAAAACCAAAGTGGTGTCAAGACGAGGGGGAAATGCTACTTTACCATGCACGATTCTAAGGGACCAAACACTGGCACAAAACCGTAAGATGCGGATCAAATGGACCAAGCTGACCTCAGACTATCTAAAAGAGGTTATCATTTATTTGAAATGAACTGTCATTAGTAATTTTTTTTCAAAACATTGTGTGTAGCATTCCAAAGTATCAATATATAATTTATGTAGAAGCATTATAAACTAGTTTTGTTACACATGTCTAATGGTGGCCTTATTATCTTATTATTCATCACTTGCTAAGACATCTTCCCTCCCACTGTCATCAAAGCACTTGCTCATAGAGGGTCGGGGTTTTCTCTGTTGTATTATTGTGTTATTGAAGGGTCTAGCTTACAATATAAAGTGCATTGGGGCGACTGTTGTTGTGATTTGGCGCTGTTTAAATAAAATTGAATTGAATTTCTTGTTTATTCTGTTCAAAATGTGCTGGACTATTCTTAAGAAATTCCAAAAACTGAAAGCAGTGGAAAAGTATAACATGAACACTTTTCATCGTGCTCTAGGTGGATGTGTTTGTTGCCATGGATTATCACAAAAGGAGTTATGGCAGATTCCATGGACGTGTCCACCTACAAGGTTCTTCGGCCATGGATGCTTCTCTAGTCATTACAGAAATCACTTTGGAGGATTATGGGAGGTATAAATGTGAAGTAATTGACGGGCTGGAAGATGGAACAGCAGTAGTGTCGCTGGACCTTGAAGGTATAATATTTGGAACTACTTCAAAAATTACTAGAATTTAAATATGGAAGGG